ATAAAAATAGCCAGGCTCGGTGGCTCAGCCTGTAATCCTGCGCTTTGGGAGGCTGAGATGAGTGGATTGCCTGAGCCCATGGGTTCGAGACCCGCCCGGGCAACTTGGTGAGACCTCATCTCTACAATGAATAAAAAAATAAGCTGGTCATGGTAGTGCGTGCCTATAGTTCCAGCTACTTGGAAGGTTGACACGGAAGGATCGCTGGAGCCCAGCAGGTCGAGGCTGCGGTGGCCGGGAGTGTGACACTGCACTTCAGTCTGGGCGACAGAGTGAGACTCCAACTCAAAAAAAAAAATTACTCATAAATTATATATTTGTACAACATATTATAATATCAAATATATCTGAAAACATGTATGACAATAGAAATTGTAAATAATGAGATAAAATAACAGGAGTACTAATATTTTCTTCTTACAATCCTGTGGATTGTCTTGTATGTACTCTACTTTGAACACCACTGGATTGAATGACTGCAAAAGATGTGTTTTAACCAAAAAAGACCCGCCAGATGTGAATCTATTCTGTTCAGAAGGTTTATTGGAAACTGACTTGGGATATTCACCTGGCACTAATTCCTTAATTTACCCACAGGTCAAAGGTTATCCAGTTCATGGTGGTGATTGTGTGTTTACACAAGAACTACCTTTCAAGTTCATACTCTAGCTTACCTTGCTGCTGCAATTTGTAATCAGTGGAATATGCCTTCCCAATGATGTTCCATACAGGCCTTAAGCATCCAAATAGTCCTTCAAGAAACCCACCGCTGCCACTGCCCGACCTGCTGAACTGAATCTTGATGTCTTCAGTTCCACTCGTGCTCTCTCTGTCCACGGTGTTGCTGTTTCCCTGAGACACAGCCATCTCGGATTCATCTTGTTCCCTTAGCTGAAGAACGCTGTTCTCAAAATGGTCCCTGGAATCCTCGCTTATGCTTGTCAGCACTGTTGTGGTGATGGGGCTGCTCGTGCCCTCCGTTAGCTCGGTTCGCACCATTCCCTTTGCCTGCTGGTCCTCAGGAAGCCTGGGTGAAGGGTGGTTGCCCATAGCTGTGAGTTCATCCTGTAGTCCACTGAAGGTTTTATTTTCACTCAAGGCTAAGTGTGGAGAAGAGGAGCAGCTCAGGTGCTCCTGAGGGCTGGCCATCGTGCCATGAGTGAGACCAAGGTCCTGAGATGACACTCAGAGGATTAGTAGAACAGAATTCTGATGCAGAAGAGGGTAACAAAACCTGAGAAAAACAGGAGGAAGACATGAGGTCACCCTTTTGTTAGCATCCACACTACACCACTACACTTCTGTCTATATAAGAAAACATTGAATCAATGGGGATTGGTTAAACTGGTTTATTTTACATGATGGAAATGTATGCAGCAATAAAAAAATATGTTTTAGAAGAGTATCTGCTAATATGAGAAAATGTGTATGATACATTGATACAAAAAAACCCCAAACAGGTTAGAACAATATATAAACATTAACTTAAAAATGCTAAATTGACACCGGGCATGATGGCTCACACTTTTCATCCCAGCACTTTGGGAGGCCGAGGTGGGAGGACTACTTGAACCCAGGAGTTCGAGACCAGCCTAGGCAATATAGTGAGACCATGTCTCTATAAAAAAATAAATAAATGAAAAAAAAATGAATTAAAAATTAGCCAGGCGTGGTAGTGCATGTCTGTAGTTCCAGTTACTTGGGAGGCTGAGGTGGAAGGATCACCTGAGCCCAGCAGGTCAAGGCTGTGGTGATCATGCCACTTACAGCTTAGAAGACAGAGTGAGACTCTGACTAAAAAAAATTTATTTTTTATTTAAAAGAATACAGAAACACACAAACGAGAAAAAAGACTGGAGTCGGGCATGGTGGCTCAAACCTATAATCCCAGCACTTTGGGATGCCAAGGTTAGAGGATTGCCTAAGCCTGTAGGTTCAAGACTAGGTGGGCAACTTGGTGAGACCTCGTCTCTACAATATATCAAAAATCAGTCAGACATGGTAGTGTGCGCCTGTAGTTCCGGCTACTTAGAAGGCTGAGGAGGAAGGATCACCTGAGCCCAGCAGGTCGACGCTGGGGTGGCTGTGAGCGTGCTACTGCATTCTAGCCTGGGCAACAGAGTGAGACTCTGTCTCAAAAAAAGAAAAGAAAAGAAAAGAAAATAGACTGGGGCCAGGCTTGGTGGCTCAGCCTGTAATCCCACGCTTTGGGAGGCTGAGGTGAGTGGATTGCTTGAGCCCGCAGGTTCGAGATCCACCTAGGCAACTTGGCGAGACCTCATCTCTACAATAAATCAAAAATTAGCCGGGTGTGGTAGCGCACACCTGTAGTTCCAGCTTCTTGGAAGGCTGAGGTGGAAGGATCGCCGGAGCCCAGCAGGTCAAGTATGTTCTTACCAGAAATTTACTTTCTTGGTAAATATCTATATTATAGTCCTTCCTTTACTCTGTATTAAGCATCAAGAATGAGCTAGAGACCCAGGCATAAAGATATCCTCACTTTGATTTGTTTTGTTTTTTTAGATTTCCATTCATAAGCTTTTATTTAATTTATTTAAATAGTGCCATACTGCATATCATATTGTAGTTTGCTTTTTGTTATAAACTTTTTCCATGTGAGAATGACCTTACTTTGTAGAAAGGGAAAAAGACAGACCAATAAAGATTGACAGTACAGCGCTTATAATGAATCAAATAAGTGCTCTGAAAAGCACAAAAGAGGGAGGGATAGTTTCAAGAAAAGGTGCTCAAAGGTGGCAATTTTTGATCCATTTGAAGGAAATGTAGGCATTCATCAGGCAAGTAGGGAAGGAAAAGAAAAGGGAGAAAAGAAAAGGGAGAAATGAGAGAAAAGAAAAGGGAGAAAGCGTTTCAGGTGTGGAGGAAAGTATGAATGAGGACATGGAGGCTTGAATGACTCTGGAATAGATAAGAAACCCAAAGTGGCTGGAACATAGGCTATATGGATGTGCATGGAGATATGAATGGACAGATGGGAGAGAAGTATAACGAGATCTGAGTGAAGGTAATGGGGAGCCATAGTATCTCATACTGGGGGTTATGGATAAAAATAGACTCTCTTTGTTATATTATTTTCTCATCTTCGCTACTGAGACCCCAATTTTTTAAATTGTCATATCCTATCAATAGGTCGTATTAGTGAACCAGTGAAAGTATCCTATTCTCTGCACTCTCATTCATTCACTCAAATATTCATTGAACTCCTATCATATGCTATGCAGAGTGTTAGGCATTAATGAATAATATATAGGTTCCTACCCTTTAGGAACTTACAACCTAGAGGGAGAGACTAAGAGATAAACAGTCACATGGTTAGATACGTTGTTCAAGATATGTTCATCCAAGTTGTGGGAGCTTGGAAAAATAAACACCAAATATGTCTAGAGATGTCATAGAAGAGCTGTTGTTTGAGTTTTGAAGGGTGAGTTCTGTGAGTTTAGTGGTCATTAGGAAAGAAAAACTAGGCATTCCACATAGCACGCAGGGGTAGCAGGGGACAACTCTTAGAAAAGTAGGCAAAGGTCCAATTTTGTGGATTTGCATGACAGGTTAAAGCTTTTGAATTTTATCCATGAGACAATAGAGAGCCACCGAGGAATTTTATTTTATTTTATTTTACTTTATTTTATTTTATTGAGTTGGAGTCACACTCTGTTGCCCAGACTGGAGTGCAGTGGCCGCTCCCGGCCACCGCAGCCTCGACCTGCTGGGCTCCAGCGATCCTTTCACCTCAGCCTTCCAAGTGACTGGAACTACAGGCGCGTGCTACTACACCCGGCTAATTTTTGATTTATTGTAGAGATGAGGTCTCGGCAAGTCGCCCAGGTGGGTCTCAAACCCGTGGGCTCAGGCAATCCACTCACCTCAGCCTCCCAAAGCGCGGGATTACAGGCTGAGCCACCGAGCCCGGGTCACTGAGGAATTTTAAGTAGTAACTTTTTTTTTTTTGAGTTGGAATCTCACTCTGCCCCCCAGGCTGGAGTGCAGTGGCACACTTATGGCCCCCAGCATCAACCTGCTGAACTCCGGGGATCCTTCCGCCTCAGCCTTCCAAGTAGCCAGAACTACAGGTGAGCACTACCTTTTGATTTTTTATTGTAGAGACGAGTTCTCACCAAGTTGCCTGGGATGGTCTCGAACCCGCGGGCTCAGGCAATCCATTCGCCTCGGCCTCTCAAAGTGCTGGGATTACAGAAAAACAGTGACTTTTAAGGAGTGATTTGGACAGAGCTATAAATTAAAATCACATCTATAGAAGTGAGGTTGAATTGAAAGAGAAAGACTGAAGGTCCAATTAGGAGGTAGAGTTGAAGAAAGAAATGATGAGGGCCTGAACAAGGAAGTAGCAATGGCAGTGAAGAGGATGGGGAAGATTTAAGGGAAAGAACTGGCAAGATTTAGTTATGGATTAGATATGAGGGTGGGTGAGTAAACAGGAGAGAGGAGGACTTTTCAAACAACTTATTTGGAATAACAAATAGATGAACAATGTTGATAACTGAGATACGAAATATCGGAAGAAGATGATTAGCTCATTTACAGACTTATCGGTTTAGGCGTTACTGTGTGTCATGCACTAAACTAGGCTTTGATTTATGTTATCTGATTTTAAAAAGACACTTTATAGAGAGGGATTTGAAGAAAGGTAAAGATGGGGGCTCATTTAGCTCAGGGACAAAAGTTTCCAAATAGTAAATTTAAATTTAAAATGCGCTTACTAAATATATACTAGGAACTGTGCCATGTACAAGGCGAGATTCTATAGATATTGAACATTACTGTTACCATTGCTATTTTTAATGATAAATAAGACAAAGTGCCTTACATTTACAGAGGCCTGTTTACATAATCAGCAATATACTAGTAAATCAGCTCTCCTAAAAACAACAACAATCTGATTTGTAGTGTTTGCTGATTTCCCTGGTATAGCAACCCCATCATAGCAGATTTCAAGCTAATAAAACTTTAACAATTTGGTTAAGTTTCTAAATATTTGACAATTGGCTGTTATAAGTTGACATATAAGCCAATCCCTTGTAATAGTGTCATTCCCATTTCACAAGAGAAGTAAGAAACTTTTCTAAGATAATATATTGAGTAAGTAGTAGAGCAGAAATTAAAATCGAACTCAAAGTTCAGACTCCCAAAATCACTTGCATTTTTTTAACCACCGGATGGAACCTCTTATGATAGTCTCTTGCTTTCTTAGAGAGCTTTACAGGTTAAAAAATGCTGTTAGCCAGGCTCAGTGGCTCAGCCTGTAATCCCGCGCTTTGGGAGGCTGAGGTGAGTGGATTACCTGAGCCCACGGGTCGAGACCCGCCTGGGCTAACTTGACAATACCTCATCTCCACAATAAATAAAAAAATCAGCCGGGTGTGGTAGCTCACGCCTGTAGTTCCAGCTGTTTGGAAGGCTGAGGCGGAAGGATCATTGGAGCCCAGCAGGTCGAGGCTGCGGTGGCCGGGAGTGGCCACTGCCCTCCAGTCTGGGCGACAGAGTGAGACTCCAACTCAAAAAAATAAAATAAAATAAAATAAAAATAAAAATAAACAATGCTGTTATCTGTGATCATTTGATCTAAACATTTGTTCCCCTGGGCAAGGAGTCCAGAGCATGGAATCATTATTCCTGATTTTCACAGACGGAAGCTAAGGCCTAGAGAAAGGTATATGCTAGAGTCATAGTCAGGATTAAAGGCCAGGGTATTTTTCCTAATTCCAAACCTCTCTCCTGTACCATGTGGTCTCTGGAAGACACAGTTCCTATTCTTTTGAAGCTTACAAACTACTTAAGGAGTTAATAATTACATTGAGGGAATTACCTCCTGCCCTCTTCCCCCATGACAAATGAACCCTCTTCTGTTCTACAGAGTTGTGTGAGAAGGGGAACAATAATGAGGCCAGGTGGTGCTAGCAGGGCTGAGTGAAAGAGGGAAGACTTGAGATGAACTTTTGAGGGTAAGATGTATCACAGAGGGAAGGAAGACAGAGAGGAGTAAGAGCATTCGCAAAGGCAGGGAAGCGGGTTGACAGGGCACGTGTGCCAGGGTTGCTGGCCCAGAAATAACAATAGTGGCAGACACGGGGGAGCGGTGTGCAACAAGGGTCACGCCTGCCTTCACATGTGGGCTCTGAAAGCTTGTGACCCAAGGCAGGTGATTCTTCCCTCTAAACAAGTTGGGGAGATCATTCAAACTGGATGGAGTTAAGA